GCGGTTGATGCTGTCCGCGTTAGAGTGCCATGCCTCTAGGAATTCTCTCGCCCGTTCTGCGTTGGCCGTGGCGTTATCCCAATTAAAACGGTGGTCGCACTGGAGTGCGTGTGCAAAGACGAGGGACAGTGGATCACGGCGACGGACGGCTAATTTGTGTTCATTAATACGAGTTTCCACGCGTCGTCCTGTATGGCCAACAAATATGCAGGAACAATTGGCACAGAGGACGCGATAGGTGACGTTAGTCTGTTCCTCTTTGGGGATAGAATCCTTTACTCGAGTTAAAACTGTGCACAGCGAGGATGCAGGCTTGTGGGAAACGCGGATACCGAACTGATTTAGCTGACGGGCGATCATTTCTGAGGCCCCCTGCATATAGGGCAGGGAGAAGAATTTCTGGGTCACGGTTTCTCCATCTGAGGAGGGGCCTCGAGGTTGTGCCTGACGCCTGAGGCAGTTCTTCACAAAAGTGATCGGGTATCCGTTAGATCGAAATAGCCGATATAGATAACCTATTTCTTTCTTCAGCAGATCGTCGAGGCTGCAATACCGGTAGGCCCGGTGGAAGAGAGTTCTGACGCAGCTTCTTTTGTGAGCCGCAGGGTGATTGCTTCCATAATTGAGGATGATCTCAGAATCGGACCCTTTTCTATGGACGCGGGTTGCGAGATCACCGTCGTCCAGCCTTTGTATTTTTACGTCCATAAACAACAGACTGTCTCATACTGCCTCTTCGCGGGTAAGTTGTATGGCCGGAAAGACATCATTCAGCCTCTGATGTAGCCGTTCGACTTCGCGGTTCTTTATTACGACACAGGTGTCGTCGACATAGCGGAGCCACATTTTGGGGTTGACAGTTTGAAAAACCTCATGTTCTGGTCGCTGTAGCACTGGTTCGGCGAGTAGACCGGATATTGGGGAGCCCATTGGACTTCCCTTCACCTGTTGGTAGTACTTATTGTCGAACCTACAATAGTTCTTAAGGCAGAGTTTGAGCAGTTCTTTAACGTGCTGCGCTGGGATACCAACAGGATTGTCCTGTAACCGTTGGGCTACGCAGTCAATTGCCAAATCGTGCGGTATAGAAGAAAATAAGGCAACGACGTCAAAAAACAAGAAGCATTCATCAGTGCTTGCATTGAGGTTGTCCATCCGGCTGAGGAATTCGTGGGAGCTGTTAATGCTGTAGCGAGATTCGTGAGTTAGCGGCTTCAGACGCTTGTACAGCCACTTGGCTAAATTGTAAGTAAGGGATCCGATGAGCGGTACTATAATCCTCAGTGGGGCATCAATTTTGTGAACCTTTGGGAGACCGTACGCGTGTGCGATATGGGGATCACTGAGGGTCATAAACTTTGAGTCATCTGGACCTATGACTTTCAGACGAGTAAGCTCATTAACCTTTTTCTTGATGGCTGCGGCTTGCTTTTTTGTTGGGTCTTCGGCGAGAATGGTACATGAATCCGTGTCGTTGAAGATTATATTCGCCTTGTTGACGTAGTCAGTTTTGTCCATGATGACGGTAGCGCCACCTTTGTAGGGGGGGAAAACAACAATACTGTAGTCCGATTTCGGTGCTCGCAATCCTTGCGCTTCTTCGGCCGGTAGAGTTTGCTGGTGTCTTTTTTGCCGGAGGATACCAATCATTGCCTATTACTCTTAAAATATACTGACCTATACTGACCTGACCTACTAGTCTAGTGTGACTGTCTCACTCTCTCATTTATTTCATTTCGTCCGATGACAGGTTGGTGTCACCAATTCGAAAATTTACGAGTACAAGTCGATTTTTTCCGAAGAACCTCTTCCCTTTTCATTATATCGTCTCGTACTGCCTACCACTTCTAATAAACATTTATGTTTAATGCTCTTATAAATATAAGTGTATTTTAGAAAAATGCAAAAACTGATTCCTCCCTATACTCCTTTGATAGAAACGTACGTCTTCTTTGACTTATACAGCCGAAAAAGGATTATATGGTTTTAAAAACGTTGTGAATCATGAAATGTACTAAGACCGTAAAACTTTCATCCATTTGTCCTTTTATTATTGTTGCTTATTAACCATAAAACCTGGTCCACATCCATTGCAAAAATTTACAACCTGCACATGAGGCCTTAGTAATGACAAAGAGTAATCTGTGATGCAGGAGGTATGCAACACGTAGTTTGGCAATCCTCGGCGTAAGTGCACCTGTTGGTTGGGTCCAAATTTATTCGGGAATTGAAAACGTATTTAAAATTCAACGATATCCTCTATTCAAGTATACAATCTAAAGATATGATTCTCTGCCAACTAAGTGCAGGAAAGAGCTTTCTGAGTATGTTTTCTACAAGGCCTATTTAATTTTGCAAGGAGGTTGAAAAAATTCGTATTACGTAACCTTTTACTCTAAATTGAGTGTGGTTTTTGAAAAGAGCCGAAAAAAAGAAATGTATCCAAGAGCCGACATCATGGTGTGACCAAGATATTTCGTGATATTTTGCATGGTAATCAGTAGCACAACTATCTAGTTTATCCTTTCTAATTAATATACATTTCACAATTTCCGTCAACATTTCACGAGACAGATCAGTTACTAGATAAAAATGCAGCAGATGACGTTTATTATCCATACACAACCTGAAGTAATGTACACCCTCCCTTCAAACCCTGACTTCGAATGAAACGTATATTTCGACTTTCGAAATATGATAATCGTCGGAAACTTCGAGGTACTGGGATTTATGTAGTCAATTCTCCTCAGGTTCTTTGGTGTTGCTGACGAAATATTCAGCACCATCCTAGTCTGCTTCTTTACGGTATGAGCACCAGACTGTCTCTCGATAGGGACATGTTGGTTTGTGTGGATTTCCCGGCACGAGCACACGAGTCCAAGAGGCGATTATACCAAACATTTTAATACGATTATAGTTGGATCAACAGAGTCATCTAACGATGCAGAAAAGAAGACTATTTAAGTAAAACCTTTCCCTCGACTGTAATTTATGGAGTTGGATGGAAAAATGTTCACTGTGGAGCTAACGAACCATCGTACAGGAATCCGTTTGGAATCACCGGCCCTGCTAATCAGTTATGTAATCTCACTCATGTACCGCCTTGCACCTGGCGGCTTACCAGACAACTTTAGTTTCTGCTTCACAAACTCTGGTGCATATTGTAAATCCATGACACGAAATTCATACTTGTCTCATACGTAGGATTGTCCACCCTCAATAATGCCGCAGACAACTAACTTGCGCACCACGCATGAACTGAGACAATCGTACTTGTCTTCTTTGGCTGAGAATAAAGTACCGTTGAAGAACCAGTCGTGTTCACAGCACACAGCCTACGACATGACTCAGCTGTTGGCTGGCAAGTCCGCTTTAGTCATAGAACTGGCAGGAATGTTGACGGCCTGAGTTGAACTCTCACTGACTCAAGCGTCTGCTTAATGCAATTCGGCGTGTCTAGTAGCGTGTTTAACTCAGAACTTAATAGTGCACTGCTGTCTCCTGAGAGAGTAAGAATCTAACATGCGAAACGCATTGCGTGGGCGTTCCAGCCCGCACAATGCGTCGATGACGCCGAAGTGAAACGTCAGTATCGGCGTACTATCCGGACATTGGAGATCCGAGTAACGCGGAAATCGATCAATAAACTCGCCGCGTCCACAGAAGTCGCTCTAAACGCTCTTGGGACGTAACAGAAAAGGTAAAAATTGGCGTCAGCGTTATCATATTATGAGACCATGTGAAGCACAAATGGTGCAATTTGAGCGGAATTAACGGGTGATTCTTCATCTAATCATTCGGCAATTGATCGGTTCGACGTAGAGGCCAGGTATTACTAGTTTCTCTATAAAAGTATGCTGTCAAAAAATAATTATAAAAAGACCTCATGAAGGCGCGCCAAAAGTTCTGGTCAACGTTTCAGTAGCTTTGGCCTATTCAACTGTGCAATGTAATTGGTAACAATCGGGAGATGGCACTCAAAAAATCCGCCTAACCAAAGCAGCCTGTCTTGCGGGACAGGTGGTAACAGGGGTTTTATGGGTGGTGGCTGGTCGGGATGTATGATACTAGCCGACGGAAAGCCTTATTTGAACAGGTGATTGATCGAAGTTGGCCCACTCTCCGTTCCGTTATTACAAAGTGGGTCGCCAAAGGCAATATAGTGCTAACGGACGAGCGGAAGGCGTATAATCGTCCTCCCTCAGGGGAATATCTACATTTCCCTGTTAACCACTCAAAGGACTTCAAGGACCCTACCACCGGACGGCACACCAATGCCATTGAGGCATACTGGAGTAGGCTGAAAAGGAAACTCCACGAGGGAGGCCCTGTATGTGGTCGAACTGTGTGGGCTCACCTAGACGAAGTACAGTATCGTCTTTGGTTTGGCCTCAATGCCATGTCTCTGACAGATGCCTGGGAACTGTTCCTGTCCCATGTTGTGCTGTCTTACCCTATTTAAAAGTAATTTTGTTTTGTAATAAACTGCCATAATGCGAATGTATGCCGTATATTCAGGTGTGCGTGTGTAAGGATGGGGAAGGTTGGGTAACAGCGACCATCGTCCATGTAACCTCCTGCGATATTCGTTCGGCCAGCCCATTTTAGGCCGTCGGGGAAAGTCCAAGTAGTGCGTGAAAGTAGTCCTGCAAACGCTTATATAGCCTGAAGGCGTTTGAGTCCGCTGTTGAAGGTGTTATTTCTAGGTGACGGATTTTTTGGGTGCCATCGCCCGATTGTTACCATGTAATTTTTTAATTTTCTCTTCCCAAATCTCTTTATGCAAAAGCGATAGTTTCTTGGCCATATTCAAGGTGTGTTGCCTTATTCTCCATCCTATCCTTTACTTTATCATCGCAGTTTGCTTCTTCCTTATAATGATTGTGAAAGTTTTATCAGTTTTTATTTTAAGTCTTCCCCTATTTTCATTTTACCCTGTTGGTGACACCCAATTGTTTTAATCCATATTCTAGTTCATAAAGGGTTGCATAGAATAAGCAACAAATAAATTCAGTTTTGAGGCATCTTGATTCATATCCCATTCAGCAGATAAGACTTGAAAATGGTTGATAACAATTGGTGTATGCTTAAGCTGTATAAATTCGAGCTTCTGCTGAACGTTTAAGCGCATTAGGAAACGTGAAATCAGTGTGTGCCGGCCTCCAGATTTATTTTCTATACTAAAAGGGTCGGCCAGGATTCGGTCTTAACTGTTACAGTTGGGCGTCACTTCTATATAAACGTCAAATATTGTTAACAGACATTGAGATATGTCTGAATTAAAATGACACTTCTACTTAGTTATATTAAGTCTTGCGACCATGATTTCAGGAAAGGTTTGCTTAACATTTTGAAAGCTTTTCAGCCACCAAGGATACCGGACAGTTTCGCAATCTCACTCATGTACTGTTTTGCACATGGAAGCTTGCCAGACAACTCTGGTCTTTCATTCACAAACTTTGACGTACTTTACAAATCCATGGGATGAAATTCATACTCGTTTCATAAATAGGGTTGTCCACCCTCGTGGATGTCCCAGACAACAAACTTGCCTACGCTGGAGAACTACTATATTATAAGCTGTTTTGGAATTGACGAAAAAATTGTCATAGTCATCTTTTTTGACACTACGGCTTCTTTCGAGATGTATAACCAGGATAAAATTAAATAAACTTCCAACTAATTAGGAGGCGTTAACGAAAGAATTTGATTACATCAAGCAGCCAAAAACACCGGTACTACCAACAGGACATCCTCGTTCGTTTAATGCTTGTCCCTTCTCCAGCTGGTTTCGTCCTACTGATTTCAGGTAATTGAAAATGCTGTTTGACGGAATATTACCGAAGCCGATGAGTTTGATTCGAGTCTACTGTTAGAGAACAGAGCGCAAAATTCTTCTGAATGAAGAAAATCCCTCTATCCTTGGCGGTGCATGCATCTGGCTGAAAAATCTTCCTCAACAATTCTGCCCAACTACCCCATAGACTAGATTTCTTATTACACGGTAGCAGTCTATAGAGTGTCGTCGCAGTCTGTGCACTATGTATCGGGACTACGTACATGAACCTCAGCGCGGGCTATCTCCATTGCTGGCGTGCAGCACATACCGACCGTAGGAGAGGTGAAGCCAACGGAACGGGTACTTCAACCAGTATGATAACCTTGAGTTTCGCCGTCTGACCATTCATAGCTGAAAGACCTTTACTTAAAGAACAGATTCTGTTATCTGAAGTTGAGCATGTGCGAAATTTCGGATTCGATAGGCATGTCCAGCTTCTATGCAATCCTCTCAGACCCCGGGTAATTAGTGTGAGACGTTCCATTAGAAATATGGAAGGCAAGCTGGAGATCATTTGTTTTAGCCTTACCTGCGCAATGTCAGGGGTTTCCGTTTTTGCGACGGCCAAGCTACTAGACTTCTTTATACATGCTTAGCAAAATGCTCTATAGTTTTAAAATATTAAAAATATAAGGGTAAGAGAAGGTTTTCTACAGGCCGGCAACTCAGTCCGTCTCAATTCCACGAAGGTCTCTGTTCTCTTCGTTTAGTCCGTTACCTCGTAAAGTATGCCGGACAGTGGAATGCATGTGCACTGTTTGCAAATGCCTTCCGAGCTCAAGGACAATTTTTATTATTTTAACGCACGATA